CCGCTACAATTCAGTTGCTAGGTATAGCACTTCAATTTCCCTTTGCGTCAACCGCTAGATAACCTTGAGAAACATGCAGCAATCCACGGATTTGAAGGCTCATTAGTGCTTTGACCTTATATAGGTGTGTAAGAAGGTTATGCATTCACAGCTGCACGAAGCTACAACACATCGGTCTCTGTAAAACTACACCTTACCATTCAGATGATGCAAATGATGCAAACTGCATTTCTTGCATCACCACCCCCTCAAAAATCACAAAAACTCAACCTCAAAAACCTTACTTCCGCGCACCCCTCTCCCCCACCTAATTTCGAGTTTACGTGGTACGTTCTTGGGCCACCCCCCCAAGACCCCCTACTTACTCACTTCGTTCGCCAAACACAACTCAGCTGGCGCCTTCTACGAAGGCTGGCTTTCGTAACATCCTTGTTGTATACCAATTTGGTATAGTAGAACATCATTGGTATACTAAGAACATCTGGTGAAAGGAGCTTAATTTTTTCCAGTTGTATACCAATGGCACAGAATGGGAACTCCTTGTTCTGCGGTCGTTCACGGCCCGACTCCTTCATACTAGTACCTTTTTGTTGCTTTTTTCGGATGGATTTGGACAGACATATAATGGGTGTGGATCGAAAAAGGGAGTCCCAAAGACCCCTTGGAAGAAGGAAGATGATGGAAATGTTGCAAAAACTCATTGGTTCCGGGATGTTCCGGGTCTTAGTTCAATGAATTTCACTGCACCTTCCTAGCCGGCAGCTGCGCAAGCGCAGTCCGAGCCGCCATCGGAGTCCACCCAGCCCTTGTCACCTGTCCTGGCGTGGTCGGCCAGGCGCCGATGTAGTTGGATCCAGTTCGGTGTTGAATGAATGGATCCAATCCGTGCGGTGAATGTGCCAGCTTCTAGCTTGAGTGATGTGGTCGGATCCAATCCCCAGACCATTCATATAGTGTGAGGTGCCAGCTTACACGATCAGGAGCGAAGATTGGAAAAGAACCAGACCTTCTCCGGCCGAACAGGCCCAACAGGATGCCTGAAAACAGAATGCCCCACGGACGGTGCCCCAAAAAGGTGGAGCTTGGTGTTTCTCACATGGCAGAATCCAAGCAAGGCTTCAAAAAAGGACTCCACCGTAGGTTTCCCACCCGCGCGCGAGCGCGCGCCCACGCGCGGTCCTGAGCCAACCATCCCCAAAGGCTTCGATGTTGGGATTCGCGTCCATGTGATCTCTGAACTCGTATCCTCGCTCGCTTCGGTGCAGTCTGGTGCACGCACTACCAGTTGTGGGTCTGTTTTGGGGGGCGGCGGCGGTGGTGCCCAGGGTGTATTTTCTAAAGGAAAGAGAGATGGAGCTGAAAATTTGGCAAAGTCAGATCTGTTCAGGCACTGCAGATCTGAGGCTGGTGGGGAATCGTCGTATTTTCAGATGGCTGGCAAGATTCGTGCCATTTGGAGGCCCTTAAACTTAGATATGATGTCCTACAACCTGAGTGACCTCTATCTTGGACCACCAAGCATGTATGGTCAAACTTCCTATCAAAAACAGAGGTGATGCCTGGGCTCGGTCGGTTGTAACACCTGCGTTTCGCACCCCCTTCTTGCGACCATTGATCCATCTATGGACGTTTGGATGGCATCGGTCGCTTTTCGAGGTTGCTGAGGAACTGGTTTTGGCATGGGCGTACACTTGTCATGCAGGGCAGTGCAGAAAGGCAAGAAGTTCTAGTTGGCCGTTTAAACTCGCTCACTTGAACAAAAATTAGTCCGTGATAGTTCGTGGGTTCAATCATCCCAAACACTGGTTGAGAATTAAATTGTCTGAAACCCCACAGAAGGGCTCTCGTGAGCTCTCATGAGCTCCATATATCCCGCCAAGTGGCCACTCGTCACCGGCCCGTGCTTGACCACCACCTGCGAATGCCGATATGGAGCGAATGACATCGCTGCATGCCACACGTCTGGCCAATCGACTAGAGTTCCTCCTGGTAGGGAAGAAGATGCTGCAGCTCAACCAAGCCCACTATCTCTAAAATCTCCTGGTCTTATTGTGGAGGCTCCCTGAAGTAGGGGAAGCTCCTCTCAAGTTTTCTGGCTGGCTATGCGCGGTGGCACTTTGGGGATGCACGTTCGGATACGCTGAATCGCTGGGAGGACACGCTCACAGACACAATCTGATGCCGCCCACACAGTACCTTCCCGGATTGTACAGTAGGGATCAGTAGGGAAGATACATATGTACCAGTGGTGGTTGATGAAACTCTTCAACCCGCCTAAGAAGATGATTTTTCCACCCAACTGTGGATGTGATTCATCCAGTGTCCACACGACGGATCAAATCCGATTCTTGGTGACACCCGCCAGCCATCCTGGAGACCCACGCAGGCAGACCTACGCTTCGCCCGTGGGCGGAGCCCCCAAAGAGATCCGATGCCTCGCCCTCCTCACCGACTTTCATGAAGCTGTTGTCCTCGGCGTCGCAAAACAAACCGGTGCGGCCCCCGAAAGGACTCACGGGCCCCATTGAGGTGTTTCTGTGTATCCCGGGGGTGAGGCACTCATATTGAAGGGGAGAGTTAAAGAGGCATCGGTGTATGTCCTTCGGCATCGGTTTTCATGTGATGAGCAACCATCATCCATCTACCAGTACCCTCCGACAAGTCGTTCGTGGCCTGTTGGGCCCTAACAGGTCTCAAGTGTGACCTGTTGCAAAGAAATGCATGGTCTTTGTCCCCTGCAATCACCATCGTCAGTGACTGAGTCCTGCCGTGACTGCAGTGACTGCATGAGATCCCCTCCGCGGAAGAAGACTCTCTGAACCCTCTGCCTCTTGTGATGTCCTCTGTGAAAAAAGAATCCGGCCCGGTTGCAACCTTCAAATTGCTTGATGCTAACGCATCAGGCAGTTGGCATCAATTCCAACTGGAGTTTCCGCGTGCTTCACCTCAAAAGGAATTCGGCACACAGGTTGACAAGTCATGACACCTCACTCTGCATCCCTCTAATAATATCCTCTAAATCATCCCGGGCGAATGTGGCTCAACTCTACTGCCTGAAGTATGCAGAACATGCCAGAAATTCACCATTCTGGAAGCAAGCAAAGCCTTCACTCTAGGTCCTAGGACCTTCACCACTGATTCAAAAATATACTTAAAGAATTGCAAACTAATATACCAGCACCTTCAAAGGGGTCACCAATGGAAGCCCCAGCCCACTACTAAGGGACCTCCATTGGACAACCCTTGAAGGGCCAGGTAGTTGTTTTTACCGAACAACCCGACAACCATTGTTTCACGATGTTTGATATATATATAGGAAGAATTTGGGACCCCTGCACCAGGTCTAACCAAACTCTTTTGAATGGCCGGGAAGGCGAGCGAGGGTTCCTTCACAGCCCCCTTCACCGTCTGAACGATCATCGTGAGACACCGTCGGTACGCCCGCAAAGGTGGACCTTTGGACCAAGGCACCGGATGGCCGTTCATGATTTGCATGTCTGGGCCGGCCTGCACCGGAGGAACGAAGGTGTGCCTCGATGAATTTGTCCATGTCACAGCCGAAAGGACATGAAAACGGACAACCTTTCGACCGCGGCGCCAATTTGCTTCACAGGGTCCTTCATCAAACGACAGGACAAACAATACTCTACCGACTGTCAGTGACAGTCGTCCCACCTCCGTTCTGGCGCTCCAGTCTACTGGAGAAACAGACCTGAGGTCCCTTCGAGGTCCCTGAGTAATTCGTGGGCTGGTTTCGCGCCCCAGCCAGGTGACCCCGATCATCCAGGTGCTGGTACTCTTCCTTCCGTTCCCATCCTTCCATCTTTGGCGACCCGAAACCCTCCGAAACCCCTACCTTCATGCCCACGGACCGCAGCTTCCGCTTCCCGTAGCGCGGGTTCGAGCAGATGGGCATCGACCTCGACGCGGAGCGCGGTCCGTTTGGCGGGGTGTAGCGATTGTGGAGCGGAGTGGGGGCGTGGATCTGACAGAACCAGGTGTTTTGGGGCGCATGTTTCGGTGCTTTGAGAGTGGATTAAAGTTTGGTATCTGGATGAACGAGTGTAGCTCTGGAATCCAAACCTGACGACAACTGCGTGGCGGTTCTTTTGAATCTTCCTTGGGTCATCCAGTACAACCCAGTTCGGCTGTATGGTTATTACATGAATAGAAACATGCAATAAGGGAGGCTATAGGGGGCTCAATATGGCTGTGGATCAAGACCAGGATACCTTGCTTGACCTACCGACATGACTTGAGATCCTGCGCTTCCCAAGGGCCCTTCACCATAGGGTGAGTACCTGGGAGTGTAGAATCTCTATACCTACCATGACATCTATACACATTGCTTGGCCTACCTGGTGTCGGTCTTTCGCTACATGAACTGGTCGGGCTCCAGGTGGGTCAACCTCCCCATCCCCATATAGGTCACCCTTTTTTGGGTGGTGCTGGTGTCTACATCGTTGACATCTCTTGACCCTCCCAGTTGGGTGTGTTTTCGAAAGGGAGACCCCCCACAGACCCCCTGCAAGAGGGAAAATAGACCAGTCTACCGACCCCAAAACAGGCCAGGGTGCTGTAGGGGGAAGCCAGCTAAACCGGCCCAAAACGCGCCTGACCAAGAAGCCCAGTTGCGGGCAAAACCCCATTGGTTGGGTTTAGGGTGCCACCGCCGTCGGTACCACCGCCGTCGGTGGCGCCCCGCCGGAGAAACACACTTTCCCCGGGCTGGGCTTCCCGGTCTCGGTCATGGCATAGGTGGGCATCACGGAGACCTTGGAACAGCCGGACCCCTTGCAGCGGGACTGGGGACGCTCGGGGCTAAGGTGTTTCAGTTAGTTCTGAGTCTGAAAAGCAGCTGGATTGTAACTTGGCCTGATTTGCTGGGTAGACTTAAGTATGCCAGCCACCTCAAATCGGCTAAGAGATCATGTCATGCTCTCCACATGCATCTTCTATCCCTGTCGAGGCCCTTGTCTCTCCAAATCCGCTTTTCACTCCGCTTCAGCACACTGAGCGCTCTCCTCTGCAACTCCACCCAGAGCTCCGCCGAGCTGGTGCTCCTCGCGCTCCTCTCCGCCTCCAGCGCGCCGCACACCGTGCTGCAGGCGCTCAAAGCACCCACGCGCGCCCACTGCAGCGCCGCGTAGAGCTGCACCGCGCGGCGCCACGCGTGCGGAGGGCGCGGCGTGCGCGACGCGGAGGACGTGGCGCCCATCACGGCACAGTAGGCGACGAGGTTGGGCGCCTGGAGGACGCGACAGGCAGTGGGGGGTTGAACTAGCAATGTACGGAGAAGACGATGATGATAGATTCCCCTAAGCAACGGATAATATAGATCCATGATCAGTCGCTTGCTGTGTAGTTCTTTATGGTGGCCCCCAAATAAATACATATGTACACATAGTATACATGATAGAACAGTTACAGGTAAATATACCCCAATCTTTAATCTACTATGACTCTGACCATGACATGTCTGCATCACATTCTTGGCCGTCTTCACATGGAAATGGCAAGAAGATGTTTCAGCATGCCGTTGGCAGCCCGCCGTGGCCTCCAACATGTCCAGGGCACCTTTCCAGTGATGGCCTTCTTGATAGACATTCACCAAGGAACTACGCAGAATCGTGTCCATGCGCAGCCCCGTTGCCTCGGTCGGGGCTGCGGCGGAAGCGGAAGGCGTCGGGGTCGCGGACCCGGCGGAGCGGCAGGCGGAGCGATGCCTCGGGTGACGCCCTTGGAGGAGGGAGGAGGAGTTTTAGGTTTCAAGCTGACCATCCCGCAGACCTCAAAAGAGTCATCCAGTGTAGGGTGTGTTAACAAAAAAAATGCCTTTTGCAAAAGCCCGATCAAATGTAAAGCCTCACACGAAGGATTCTGAAACCGACCGAAACAATCCGAATCAACAGGAAAAGCTTCATCATATTCAAGTTAGGAGCTTTAAAGCTCGCCAGCAGCAGAAATACCCCTTTCCTTGGACTTGTGAGAGACGGACAGAGAAGAAACAGTCTGCCCACCTATCTGCCTAAAAAGAACTCCAAAGAAGACAAGATGGGACAAACCATCTGCACATAAATATATCCTCGCTCCTCATCCAGGCGTCCAGGCTCCCTGGGCTCCTAAAGAGCTCGCCATCGCGCTGTAGGCATAGCAGTTGGGCCGCAGCAGCTCGGCCTTGTGAGCTGAGAAGATCTGCAGCGCTCCGCGCCAGAGCTCCACGCTCCGGCGGGCCAAAAGGCTCAGCGCACCGCAGAAGGTGACCACGGAAGCCGAGAGCCATCTGACACCCGTGGGCCAAACCTGGTGAGGACAAGCACAGGACATGCGGCCACAAAATCTTCGACCCTAAGAATCTTGGGACCCGGCACCCCAAACGCCTTGTCGGAGCTTCTCCACCGAAACGTGGGGGGTCCGGATTCCGAGGGATAGGGCTTCTGCAGCACCAGAAGGCAGGAGCATGTCAAAGTGTGGGCGTGTTTTTCTGGTGCAGACCGAGGTGAGGGAATGATCCAGACCTCTCGCAGTGACTCATGTAATATGCAGGCTCAGTAGGCAGTACTTACCAAAATAGGATGGCAAAGTAGGATTTTCACTCCCAGAAACTGCAGCTCCTTCGCAAGCCGTGAGCAAAGCGCTCGAGGTGATGACGTCCGTCTTCAAGGCGTTCAAGCCCATCTGCTCTTTCAGTTCAAAGGCTCTGCCCCACTGTGCTGCTTTCGCGCATGCATCCATCGCCGTGTTGCAGCTCACCACGTCGGCTGCCGGATTTGCGGCTCCGGGACCCTGGAAAAAGGACACACAATATTCCCCAGAAGGTCATTGACCCATACCAGGACCTTCCAAGAGGTGTGTATAAATAGCCTCTTAGGGGTTAAGGGGTGTCCAGAAACCACCTGTTGGAAGGTGCTGGTAGAAAGAAAAAGTCACCTAATCAGCAAAACCAGGCTTCGTCAATGGCCAAGACCGATGTCAGTGCCACGAGCCACGGGAGGGTCGCCATGAGGCTATTGAGGCTCACGCGGTTCGGCGAAAGCCCTGACATCAAACACCGATTTGGGCGAAACCCGCGGCTTTGTTCGGCGCCGAAACCCGAATTTGGCAACCTGGAGTTTTAAGAAGTTCCATGAGAAGAAGATGGAGAGGTGTGATAATCAACACTGGAGTGGTATTGGATATTCTGAAATCCTTGGTATCTGAATTAGATATTGAAACTTTGTCACTGGGCGCTTGGTATCGGAACGGATCACGTTCATCATCCAGATCTGCATGAAAACCCCATGTTTCGGATGGCCAGGCTAGGCGACAAGTCACCCAGGCTAGGCGACATTGGCATAGTACAGCACCTCTTTGGGCGACATTGGGGCCCCTGTCAACTCCAAAAACCACTGTACAAAGATGTATAAAGTACACTGCCTGGAATAAGAATGGGTCCGTGGAGGAAAGCAACCTGTGGAAGTAGAGGAAAGGGGTCATCCTTTTGGGGTGCCATCCACGTAACCATGAATATTTGATCTAGGGAGTTGGTTGGAATCTCCTCTAAGTATCACCACTTGGGAGTGTATCAACTCTTCTAAGTATCACGACTTGGATTCGGAATCTTCTTCAAACGTCTTGATTCCGAAAAAGCCCTTCTGTTCGCCTTGCTGTCGCAGCTCTTGCAGAAGTCTGACACTCATCCACCACCGCGCGACGCCGTCCGCCATACCAGCCATGTGAGACACGAGGGCCGTGTAGGAGATCACATCCGGCTTAAGCGAGTTGAGACGCTTCAAGGTCCTGCGAGAGAGGGGTCAACCTGCCCCAGAAGACCTACAGGTTCTACCTGGTGTCACGTGTAGAAGATCTTTCGGTGGCAAAGTTGAAAACTTTGGGTGACGTAAGGAAATCCCACCTTGACAAAATCCGGGATTCCAATGATCACTGGCACAATATCCAAAGTAGTCCAGTGTGCATCCCCCAAGCAAAGGAAAGTGCGCAAAGCTGGTGATTCTTTGGACTGACTCTGCTGGGGAAGCGCCACACAAGAAAATAGTCTTTTATTATTCTTTATATATATATATATTTATATGACCACAGCACCAAAGCAAACTAGTGGAGCGTGCACTTGTTAAGCCCCAAACTTACAAGTGTTCCACACCAGGCCCACAGACCCACGGGTGTCCGTGAATGGCCCCTTAAAGGTGATTCGGGGTGGCCAGTCACCAGCCCGACCGTGGGTCCTGGGCTGACTCCAATGACCCTTCAGGCTCTTCAGAGGTAGCCCCATGCCTCTTCCTCCCCTGCCTCCCAGGCCTTTTGGAGGAAACACCGAGGGATCTGATCGAGCAAGAACATGGGGTCCAAAGGTAAAAAAGACTCCTGAAGCAATGTGAAAACATTCAGTGCTCAAAGCACCATCATCAACTTTCCTCATCAGTGCTCAAAGCACCCATGTTTGTCTTCTCACCATCGTATCTATTTAGAGGTCACATTAATGCCAAGATCTTGTTTCCATTTGGCATCCTTCTACCTCACTGTTCTCCACCCTGCGCAACGTCTCTTTGGCCTGATTTTGGAGAAAGGGGTCACCTGGCGGGCTGGGGCGTTGCGCTAGGCGTCCCCCCCACGACCGGACCGAAGGCCCCGCCAGGACACCCAGCCCCCGAAGGTCCAGGCACTTCGAGCCGAAGGTCCCCGCCAGGACACCCCGCCAGGTCCAGGCGCTCTGACCGACCCGACCTGAAGATCTGCAGAGGCAATGACCAAGATGCCAAGCTCATCGCGCTGAGCACGCTGTTGAGGCTCACCACGGTCGCCTGAGACGAGACGGTGCGCGTCGTGGTGCGATGTGGAACCCACAGTGGAGGATGGTAGGATGAGCAGGAGTCATTGATAGGAGTCATGGAACTCTGATTGGTGCGAAATCAACTCACTGCAAACGTATTCGTTACTTCAAAACAAATCTCACCAACTCAACCGCCACCACCCAAAATTGGTCGATCATCCGATCGCCTTCAGGTGTTGAAGAGCAGAGTCCTCCAAGCCACGTAGTGCCTTTCGCCAAGGAAGGCCCTCGGCCGTCGCCAGGCCGTTGTAGGTGATGACGTCAGCTTGGATGGAGCGCGTCTGGGTCGTCTTCAGCAAGGCCCTTTGGTGACACCAATGGCCGCGGCAGAGACTGATCCTCAGAGTTTGCAAGGATGGAAAAGGATGGAAAAGGATGGGGCACATTGCACGGTGTTCAAGTATAAATTTGTTCTCAGCTTCTTGTCTGTCATAGGCATAGTGATCCAAACACTGGCTTTCGGAATGTACCACACGCTACAAAAGTATGCAAAGGACACACGACAACAAGAAACACTCGCCAGCAACATACGGTAGTTCTACAGGAAATTCCACAGGAAAGCCTTTGTTTGCTGTCGGCTGCTATAGGTCAGCTCCACATGTCTGTGTTCCTGTAGATTTTCCTGTAGATAGGCTCTAGCGACTCCCAAGCATCCCAGTGTTGTAAGAGGTCACTTGGGCCATGTTTGCCCCCTCCAATCTCCGCAAGTGGCCAAGAGCAGCCTGGCAACAGCTTTTCCCAGTGGGCAGATACTGGAAGTAGTAGCTCAGGTTGGGACCCAAATCTAGAACTGAATGTTCAAGAAAGCGTGATCCGATATCAAGAAGAAGGGACCTATCTAGATTGAACAAAGCATCCAATCCTTGATCAACCATCCAATCCTTGCACTTCGTGTTTCGGATCGCTTATGGAAAGCGGATTTCGGACTGAAAAAAGAGCCAAACAATGCTTCACCGCTTCACCGTGCCTTTTTGTTCGGGTCAAATGGAATCAGAAACGACCACCGAAGGTTTTGGCATCTTGAAAACACTTCGTTGGATTCTTTCAGGTTCTTGGTTTCCCCGATTTATGTGATGGATTCAGACAACAGATCAACATCCTCAAGTCACTGGACCCCCAAACTGCTTAGGACTCAATCTTGCCAGGTGCTGAAACGGTGACGGCGGCTTTCGAAGGCAGGCTTCATGTAAGACTCTTTGGGATCGGTCAGGTCTGGTGGTGTCGTGGTCGTGGAGTGGTCTGGTGGCACCGGCACGCTGTCGGATTCGGAATAGCTCGAAAGGCCCGGCCCTTTTTCATGACTCCTTTCCTTCGGTTCCAATGACCCGTTCTCAGATTCCATCCGATGGAATCTGACGATTGATTCATTCTTTTCAGCTAAACGGTTTCTGGTGGAAAATCCATCAAGTGGGGTTCCGAAGTCGAACTGACTGAATCTATTTGAGGATCCCAATCACCAGGGCAAACCGACTTGTCTGACAACCTCCAAATGATTCAAATGGACTTGACATAACTCGAAATCCATCGGTGCCATGGGGTGCTTAGAGCTCTTGGGGTTTGGGTGGTGTTCTTACAATAGATACAATAGACATCAATAGACAGTTTTCAACTGGCCTGTTCTGCTCTCCAAAAATCCCAAACGAAACTAACCTCAGCACAGAACAAGCAACCTCAGCATGCCAAAAACCTCTGCATCCTGAATGAATACACGAGATCTGTGGTCCCTTTTTCATGCAAAGACACTCAGTTCGGGAAAAAAAAGAAAAGAAAACGAGGGACCACAGCCAAGGCTGTTTTTGGTGGCTTCTACTGCTTAACCGGGCGAGCTGTCATTCTGTTTTCAGCGTGCTGTCACCCCCTTTCTCCAAATCCACCAAACACTGGGCATGTGGTGTTCCGAGGGCCACCAGGTGTGTGGTGTCGCAGCCTTCAGTAGCTGGAAGTCGCATGTAGCCAGTGGCTGGTGACGCTTCAGAAGGTTTGGAAGGGTCACTGCAAAAGTCAATAGTTCAATCAAGTGCCAGTGGAGGCACCGTCAGGTCTCCAGAGTCTAGGACAAACCCAGCCTCTGAGAAGCCAGCTATACTCGCATTGTTGACACTCACATTCTTTGGCTATGATTCTTCTGCTGCCTTGAAAGGCAAAGGGACCAAACAAGAGGATCTGAGAGATGGACACAGTGACTGTCAAAGAGCTGCAGTTCGCAAAGGCAAAACGCTCAATGTCGGTCACTGAGTCGGGGATGGTCACACTTGCCAAAGTATTGCAGTTCGCAAAGGCACCATGACCAATGTATGTCACTGACTGGGGGATGGTCACAGTTTGCAAGGAGCTGCAGTTCACAAAAGCTTTCGGCCCAATGTAGATCAATGAGTGAGGAAGGGTCACACGAGGAAGGGTCACACTTGCCAAAGAACTGCAGCTGGCAAAGGCACTAGCCCTAATGTCCGTCACTGAGTCCGGGATGGTCACGCTTGTCAAAGAGCTGCAGTTCACAAAGGCTGAAGACCCAACGTAGGTCACTGAGTGGGGAATGCTCACGCTTGCCAAGGAGCTGCAATTCTCAAACGCTGAACACCCAATGTGGGTCACTGAGTCGGGGATGGTCACACCTGCCAGGGACCTGCAGTTCTTAAAGGCACCATCTCCAATGCGGGTCACTGAGTCGGAGATGGTCAGCTTGGCCAAGGTGCTCCATCCACTGAAGGCTTCCCACGCAATTTCAGAGATATTGTTTGGGATTTCAACCGCTATCGATGATTGGAAGTCAATCTCATGGCGAAACTGAGCGATGAAGCGTTTGTGGGAGCATCGCACTTTGTTCTCTTTGAAAACGACTGTCAAATGCGAATCTGCAGCAAGGCCCGCGACTGCAAGTGTCTCATCATCTTTCAGCAACGTGCTGTCTCCAATGACAACCTCAACTCGAGTTGTGTCACTTGTGAGCTTGTCCTCCCAGAGGTGCCGCTCTTTGATTTGCTTCTTAAGGGCTCCCCCCAGTCGTCTCTTGTGCGGCTTCGAGAACCATCACCTCACCGTTGAGTCGTCGAAGTGAAATCTGCATGGCCATGGCTCTGCACCACTGTATATACGTACTGGTCCTCAATCAGCAAGTCAATCCCTGATACAACCGATCCATCAATGAAAACTCTTGGAGACGGGTTTGCTCTCTATTTCTGAGATCGTTTGGGCTCAACATGGATTTAAGAGGGGCCTCCTATCCTGCTGAATCGAAATTTGAAACTCCAAACTCCCCAACAAATGGCTGCAACTGGCTCCATGGGTTCTCCCCCTCACGAGCGCCTATTAGTGTCGTAGCTCGCATCGTTGGCGTGCTTGCCGGACAAGGGATTCTCTAATTGGGCGTGCATTTTAACTAGGAAGACCTCCCCGGAATGGAAAATTGAACCAAAACACATTGGATGGGATCTCCCAATTAAAATACACACACATCAATCTAACCCTAGCCCAATCTTCTATTATTGTTGGTTCACCGAAACCCTATATATATTATGTATATACCGCAGCGCGAAGACCTACCTCTCTCGAACCATGACCCTGTCAACATCCGTCAAGAACTGTTCATCAGTCCTGCGCTTCTTGTGCTAGGCATGTGACTGCTGACTGCTAGCTTTTGACCAATCTCTACACTCTAACCTACTAACATGATCGGCCCATGGAAGTGGATGGCAGATCGGCCCTTCCAAAATCGGCCTCTATGAAGGTCCCTGAGTGCCATCCACGTGGATCGCTCGAAATGTGGTTTTTGGTTCCAGGTCCGTCCCTCAGCGACTCCCAGAGAGTGGAAGTCGGGCCTGCCCAGGGGTGCCAGGAACCGCTGGATGGGAGGAGGCACACCACTATTAACCACACCACCACCCTTGGGTGACCCCTTGGCAGCTCGGTCACCTCCCAGGGTCCCTGAAGGGCCGCATTGAAGAGGATGCCATCGCCACGCAGCTGGAGACCGTCGACGCGCGCGAGGAGCTGAGCGGCTTGGACCTGAGCTGAGCGGCTTGGACCGCGTTCGATCCGAGAAGGAGGTTGAAGGACCCGACTGTTCGAGGATCCCACAAATACCCATATAGGTATACCTACCCATAGGTACCTACCCATAGGTACCCATAGCTTACAGGTCCTTTGACCCAGATCCGTGTCCTTTGACCCAGGAATTGGACATTCGCAGCGACCGACTCCAAGGAACCTCGTGGCTCGCTGGTTTCGGCCGTGCCCTGCGTCCCGGGGTTCCCGAGTTAGGGAGTTAGGGAGAAGAAGGAAGGGGGGGAAGCCCGGTCCGGGCTCCCATGGTGAAGAGCTTCCGTTCTAACCAAATGAACTTCCCTTTTGACTCGTGAACTACCACCCCATGAGTCACGAAAAAAAGAAAAACAGGACCGACACCAGTTGAGGTGTCTATCAATAGCCTCGGTCTGAGCTGGTTCGGGGTCTCCCAAAACCACCGGACTGGGTTTCGGTCCGAACGTCGTTCGGGGCTCCGTCGTGAGTCACCGGACTGGTGGAGGGGTCCCATGTCTCGGTCCACGGTCCACGTGG